GACATCTGATACAGCCTTGCAGGCACTAATGACGACTTCAATCAACTTTCACCAAACAGGGCGAAAGTTGATCGAAGGCGTTATCAAAAACACAGAGCCTGAAAAAGTACTGCACACCTAATATAATGACATTCCCATTGGCGACGGCAGGCGCGGATTCAGTGACACTGTATTTTGTGACATTTCAGAAATACACGTAGAAGGAGAAGTTTTGTCATAATGTCCATATGAATAACTCATATTAATGCTAATTGTGATTCATTTGAAAGCATAAAAATTCATGAGTCACTGTATCTTCATATTAAATTGAAAAAAATTAAAAGAATGAAGAGAAAGTGATGGGAATTCAAGCTTTTTGCGAGTAAAAGTGTTTTTTCCTCAAACTGCATCACCAAACCAAAGTAATTGATGCAAATTCCTCATTCAAGAGACATTAACTGGCAGATTTTTTTAGAAGCAGGGCATTATCGATATGGCGATACCCCATAAACTGACATTTGCAATGTACGTGCTCAAATTATGGTGACGTAGGTTTTACTACAGGCTATCCGACTGTTTGCAAACGACATTGTTCCAATTGCTTCAGCGACATCCCATGTTCTTCATAATATTATTCAATGTAGGATTTTAGTCAAACTTTCAATTTCTGCAAATGAAGCCATAAAAATTTTGTAGGCCCTATTTATGAACAAATTTTGGTCAAAGTGCACGAATTATGGTGACTCGTAGATACCCCTTGAATTAAGGGGTTGTTTCTCTGGACTCTAAAGACAAGGCACTTTGATGAAAATGAGCCTTTTATAATTAAGACAGCATGATTTATAGGCCAAACGTTACTCGTTCGCCTATTCGAAATTATCATTTTATAGGGTCGCGCTGAGCTGTACCAGCCAGGTTCAAGGCGGAGGTTTTCCTCTGGTAGTAGAGAGAGAGAGACACTGGAGAAAAATTACAAGATAAAGAAAAAAATAAATTCTCTCTGGTACGCTTCATACCTCTTTGTTTCTTTGCCATTTTGCGCTGTGATGATGGCTTTCAGTTCAGTAAGATCGGGATTATCCAACACGGCACCGCCTGTCACTGTCAGACTGTCAAATTCGTACGCAGGCCTATATACATGTATTTAACGAAGAAATGTTTACAGCACTGCGTCTACTGCGTGCGTGGACGGGTATGGATCACGTATACAAGTACGTAACACACTTTTCGCGCTACGCGTACGATATAAGCCGGCTTCCTTGGTTTCGTAATTTTTTGTTACAAAACGTCGTAGCCTTGCTGGCAACCAGTGAATACTTTGTAATTTTAAACGCACAGATGGTGTCCCTATTGGAGACATTCAAATAGTCCCATCCTCTCCACACTTTCGAAGAGAGCGTCTCTAGGACCATGCAAAGATGCTCATAAAGAGCCTTATCCATGAGGGATAAGACAATTCATTTTTGTAATGCATGGCTACAAGTTAAAGTTAATCCGGGCAAAAAGTGCGAACACAAGCCATTAATTTCCATGTAGAAATAAACCGGTGGTAAATCTTCACCAGAGTGATGTTATGCTCGACCGGCGGTTTGTCGATGCGGTCCCCCAGAAAGGGGCCGTCCATAAAATATGTACGCACGAATGGGGGGGGGGGTGATGCCGTTGCGTATATACGCCATGTTCACAGGGGGGGGTACGGTTCAAGCCAGTGCGTACCGTGCACAAACCGAAAATTTGCCTTTAATGAACCTTCATCATATCAATACTCTTTCTCATGACAAAATAACTAACTTGCCGATAAAAAATTAGGGTCGCGCCGAAAATTTAGGGTAGGTCGGGAAACCGGAAGCGGAAGTATTTTGGGGCCTTAAGGATGCAGATGTTTATTTAACATCATTCATCTATTTCAATACAAGTTTTGACGGAATTAAATTAACATTCCAGTCACCAAACGAATATGAACACTGCCGAAATTTGCCGGGAAACCTATACTATAAGATCCCTCAGATTGTAGGCCTCAGAGTAATCACATTTTTAACAAAGATTTTTAAAATAAATCCTTAAATTGCCATTGTATTTGATAAATAGTTGTGATTAATATTACGGATTCGAACAACTCGATTCGGTTTATTTACTAACGTGACTCGGGAAACGCGACTGTCGAGACAATTCGAACAGTGGAAGATCTACACCATTTCCTACACAGTACAGGGTCCAGTCCACTAATTCAAGCCCCATTGAAAACAGCGTAAAATCAGCACTATTCAGGGCCCAATAGCATGCGCGCCAACATCCCCGAGGTTTCTGACACACAAATGAAATTCTTGTCTGGTCACTT